CCCAAAACCCCAAAACCCCAAAACCCCGAAGAAAAAATTAAAAAAGGATTTATGAAATCAAAATTAAATTATTTTCTCATCATAAATTTGTGTTAAACTTACTAGATTAAATTGTTAGAGTTCTACTTAATGGTGATGAATTTATAGGAGCCTAATTCTTAACTAATTCGTTGCTGTAGTGGCTTTATATCATCAGCATTTTATAAGATATCAGACCAGATTCCTTCAAAATTTCTTCATCAGCATAATATAAAGCACTTTCATTTTTCTTATTAGCTTGAAGAACATTCGCTCCTTTTTAAACCAATAGTTTAACTATCTTAGCGTCTTTTACTTTGAATGCTTCATGAAGTGCTGTATTGTTTCCCTCACAGTGTAAATTTACATCAGCACCCATTGCAATTATTTATTTTACAAGCTTAAGATTTTTATTTCTTACAGCATAGTACAGAGCACAGTTTTTCTAGTTATCTCTAGCATTTATAGCTGCTTTATTTAGTAATTATCCAAATGTTTTAATCTGTGAAATAAAAAGTTTAATTACTCAAATATCTTACAAAATTTTCATTGTTATTCTTGACTGATGAAATAAAATTTAGTTATTTTTCCCTTTAGTTAGGTATCATTGGATCTATGTACACATTTTTTCTCTTTTTAGGAGAAGCTTCTTCAGTTTCAATTGGTATTGGCTTTATTAATGGTTGTTAAAAACCATCCTAATAAGTCAAGTTGTTATTTGTATTAGAGTTTGCATTTGATTAGAATGACTATCTTATATTAGTAGGTGATCTTCTGTAAAAACTCTGATAGCTCAGTTTTTTCCTCTCCTCCATTTCCTATTGTTTCTTCAATTTTTCCTGCTCTCTTTCATTGACTTGCTAATTGTATATCTTTTTAGCTTTCCACAATCGATAGTATTTTTAAATCATCATTGCTGCTTTATTGAAATCAGCCTAAAATATCCTTTAATTGACAAAGATACCAAAGTAATGGGCCTCTATGAATTTCTGAGGTTATTTATCTTCGGACCACCTGCATATTCGTCGGCTAATATAGCTCTCTCGTCTTCCACGTGATAAATATTCTTTGGTCTCTTAAAATTTGAGTCTTAGAAATACTCATATATCACTTTATTCTGAAAAGAATCGGTACCTAGATCAACAATTAGGGAATTATTTCTTACTATTGAAGCCTTTTGGCATCATTAGCTCTGATCTCTTTATATTATTTCTTTCATTTCTTCTCAAATACAATTTGTGACCAGGATCATCAGGATTAGGTGTCAATTTACTTACCCATCCATTTTCCATACCATTTAAGATGATTCTGAATCTTTTCACTGTTTTTGAGTGGTTAAGTCTCTTTTCCTATTACAATATCTGTGACTAATGAATGTCATCTTGCTAGTCAATCTTTTCTTGTGCTTCACTAGCTTTTCTTTGTAAATACTTAAACCTTGAATTTTTAACTTGCTATTAATCATTCCTATACTTTTTAATGATATCATTAGAAATTTGAGCTTCTATTGTTTAGATAGTATCTACATCAAGACTATTTATTTGCTTCTAAAGATAGCTTTGATCAATACAGTTATTCAAATTTGGTAAACTAGCAACTACCTAAAATTTTACATTTATTCTCTATTATTACTTACCTCTTTAACTTTATCATAACTTAAGCCTTTAATATTTTGACTTTTGCTGTGATCAGTTTGATAGTTCTTTATATCTAGCTTTCCTCTATATAATTTTGTGTAGGAACCCATCATTACTTTATCCCAAGGAGCAGTAGAAGCATACTAGAATGTTAATAAGAAATTTAAATACCCCAGTTAGTCGCTTTCTTATGTCTTTTTTATGCTGATGATATTATGATTCATTTTAATAATTCCAAATGTCATTCATCATTTTTCTATTTTCACTATTTTATCTGGATTGCTTTCCTTTCTCATCTTGACTTAGAATCATTGCATTTTACTCTTTCCAAATATTTACTAGTTATTTTTCAGCCATCTTCTTTAGTTATGGAGTTTTGGCATAATGCTGAATATTTGATTTAGGGAAGATGTAGTAAAAATTATTTTCTGACTATTGATGAAGTTAATCTATTGTCTCGAAAGTTTCCTTCAAATCTTTTTTCATTTAATGCTGAGGATCGAATTTTAGATTCCTAAGTTTTGTTTTCAAAGAAGCCATTAAAGGAACTGATTTGCTGTCTTGATTAGTATTTAAAATTTCATTCACAGCCTCCTTTGTAGCTGGATTTACAAATGAAAACTTAAGTCTCTCATTCTCATAAGCTCCTTTTTTATAAAGTAATTTGCGAGTATCCTCATTTTCTAGCACATCTTGACAAGTAGCTACAAACTTATCAAAGGTATTCTTTATTTAGTTATACAAAACTCCTCCACTTGCTAATGCTTACTTTGAATTAATGAATTATGGAAGAGATTTATTTTTTTAAATATGACGTAGTATTTCCTTAGAATCAGGTGGTAACTTATCCTTAGATTTAGTTTTTACCTTCTTTTCCTCCATTGCTAAAATATCATCGCTGTTCATCAATTTTATCTTCAAATCATTATTAATCTCTTTGACTCCCACTGTAGTTTTTAGTTTTTAAACTGGAGAGGTGTTTAAGTTCGAAATGTATTAAGGTCTGAGACTTTAGTTTGCTGAGTTCTATCTGGATTTAAGATCTTTCCTTTTTATACTAGTTTACTTCTTACTTAGAGGTGTAGTCAATTATTTGCTCATTGGAGTAGCTGAGTATTGCCTAAGAGTCCTTCTTTTCGCCATTGTCTGCTTATATATTTCAGTATCAGGATTTTGAAGTTGCTCTATTAGCTTTTATTTAAGATATGGTTTGATCTACTCATGCTTGCTACTCACTCTAAGCCATTCAAGATGATTTTTTGAATATTTTCTCTCCAGTTAGTTCTCAATAAATTTCACAGCTTCATCTATCCTCTCCTCTCTGTATTTTTCCATCTAATTTAGCTAATTTATTTACTCTTAAATAAATTTTTTCATCTGAGCCAATTTCTCCTATCTCATTTATTCCTCTTTTTCTTTTCTTAGTCTCTCCTAAACTTCTGCAAAATTGATTTATTTAATCTTGTTTTAAACGAACTTAAATAATGCCTGCTTTATACCTTCTTTCTAAAGATATCCACCTTTGTCCTAGAGCTCCTAAACTTCTTAATGAGAAAGAGCTAGAGAGGACTTAAGGAGAGTTTATTAGTTATTATTTTGAGGCTTCAGTCTATTCGCGCTTGCAGGCGATTTAGAAGCTTTCCTCTCTTCATCTTACTTCTTGATCTCAAGATCTGTGAATATTCTCTTTTTTAGCCGTTCACTCTCTAAATCTGTGTTATGAAACTCCTCCTATATTATCTAAATCGTAAGTTAAGCCTCTAAAGAATAATTTGTAAGCAAAGATTAATTTTACTATCCTTAATTAAAGCCTGTTAGCCTAACTCATTAAATGCTTTGACCTGCTGTGTTGCTGATCTTTTTATAGACATTTACTTTAAGCAATAATTATATTTTAGTAATTCCTCCAGAATATTGTAATAATATTACTCCCCTAGTGATTTATCTTTAATATCACAAATTTTTCATCCATTATTGAATGAAGGGGTTTTGGGGTTTTGGGGTTTTGGGG